TATTTAGAAAATGTGCAGAAATTTAGACGTTCGAGTAAACTATTTATATATTTATTATAGTCTAAAATGAATATATTTAACGATATACATATATTGAATCATCATTTGAAAATGATTTTTCTTCCAATAAAAATCGATGCCCGTCTGTTATCGTTTCCTGTCTCCGTAGATGTCACATGCACGATCAAGATCGAGACATTTTGATGACCTGTAAAACGCGTTATTCCGTATTATGTACCTGTGCTGAGGCTGCCAGTTACGGGGAAGTGCAATCGAAGCGTCGGGACAGAAACAAGAGGGATAAGCGTGTACACGTGTTCCGAAGATTGCCAAGCGCACTCATGTGTTCGTTAACTACCGAGATAAGGAGACTATACGTAGGTGACACGTGCTACGAAAATACACGGCTAAGGACTACCCCGAGGGAAGCGGCAAAGATAAAATTAGAAGGAGAGAAAAGCGCGTCGTCGAAACGTTTGTTTTACGGTCCCGCGCGGTTCCACGACATTCGCCGCAATTTTTCTTTCCACGTCCACTTACGGCACTGCGGAACGCTCCGATTCGGTGAACAGAGAGGGGTCCCGTGGACTTCGGCGTTCCTAAATTAATAATATCGTTTAGCAACGTCGGACATCACCGCCGCCGAGAAATGTGAACGCAAAATACGGTATTTACGTGATTCCGTTTCATGGAAATTTAAACAATACTTGGGTAATTAATGTGGAAGACTTAATCGCTCAGAAATTTCCTTAGGATGTTTCTTTAACATTGATTTTTCTGAAATATTGATACTTTCAATCTTTTTTTATGTTTGGAAATTAATAGTGTTCCTTTCTTTCGAATTGTTTTAATGAATTGAAAATAGTGTGCAGTATTTTTATATTCCATTAGTGTCTTCACTGCTCTGCATATTTCGCTTAGCAATTTTTCCCATAAATGCATCTAATCTGCAGTTTAATTATGATTAGGTTATGCGATCAGGAAAATAGTAAATAAAATAATTGTGATTTGGAAGATGTTATATGAAATAATTGTAACCTGGAAAATATTATGTAAAATGATTATGATTTGGAAGATGTTATATAAAATAATTATAATCTGGGAAATATTATATAAAGTAATTGTGATTTGGAAAAAATTATATAAAATAATTGTAATCTGGAAAATATGTTATATAAAGTAATTGTGATTTGGAAGATATTATATAAAATAATTATAATCTAGAAAATATATAAAATGATTATGATTTGGAAAATATTATATCAAATAATTGAGTTGAAGAATATTATATAAAATAATTATGGTTTGGGGAAAAAAATATTATAAAGAATAATTAGCATCTCGAAAATATATAAAATAATTGCGATTTGGAAAATGTCATATGAAATAATTGTGATTTTAAAGAGAATGTTAACAACGATATTTCAGAACGATCTTATGTATATTTATAAAGTAAATTGCTCGCCTCGTTAACTACGATAAAAACGTTTCTGATACTGAACTTTTTGCAGTCTCTTATTTTTTTGCAAAATTTCGATAAGACTGACGCGAACGGAAATATTTCACACGAGCCGGACGAGGTAACAAAAGCACCGAGCGCGATGAATTATCCGATAGTTTTGTTACTCGCGGAACTCATTTAGCGAACACGTAGCCTCTTGTACTCCTCGTTATCTTTGTATTTACTTTTTCCGAGGGAACGACGTCTCTGAATGAGTTATCGCGGCGAAGCCTCGAGCCCACTCAATTATCTTAATGAGCAGAAACGCCAATAGCCTGCCACGTTTTTCGGGGCACGTCTTATTTTTAAACCTTTTCCTGCGTTGACGAATTTGCGGATGCTAGTCGTCCCGCGAACGAAACACTAAATGAAGACCTCTGCCGTGCCGAATTTCTTTTCAAGACATTTTTGCATCCACTAATTCCACTGTGCGGAAACATTTGTTAAATGAATTTAATTACGTGAGAAACGTGTGATTATTTACCTTATCGTTCGCTGTTCGGTTAAATATTCTGCGCGCGTGAATTAACGTCGATGTTGATACACGTAATTCCTTGTAATTGTCAATGTTTAAATAAATTGATACGAGTAATGCCGATCGAACGTTTTATCCGAGTAAAAGCGTTTATTTTTAACAATTAATGTTATACGTGTTTATAGGTTAAATTTCTCGTAAAGAACTTTTTGTTTATAGTGTAAAAGATTGTTATCCCGACAAGACGAGAGATAAAACATCTCAATTAAATTTTTGCAAAAGCTATTAATTGCCTTATTAACACCCCTAGTAAAAAATTATATAGAATATTGATATTTATTTATGCTCAATTCACCCTACTTACTACTTTTTCACTAAAATGATTTATGATTGAAAATCTCTGACAAATATATTATTTTATTTAGTCTAATAACAGTAATTTCTAGAATTACTATAACATTTAATTATTGAATGCTATTCGAGAATTTGTTATCGAGTTTACAAAACATTTACCATTAATTCTGTTCTCAAAGTTTCCACAACAAAACTGCAGATTAAAATTTGGAAATAATCATTCGGTTAGAAGCGTTAATGTTTCGCGAATATTTTTCGCTAAATTGTTTGAATAAAAGGTCTGTAATAAGCGTGCAGAAATTGTCTGTATCTGTGTACTAAAATTTAATGATCGATGATAGAACGTGTTCACGGTGAAGAATTTTAATTTTCACGTGATTACGAACTGATGACAGTAATACCATAGAGCGCATAGGAGAATGCACAGTATCATTGGCGGAAGGTGCATTTGTTCTTTATAGGGGACGTTTATGCTCCTAACGGTACCCGCGCCGTGCAAAAATCGCGTCCGCACAACGTGTCACGTATTCGGCAAATTCGCATCCGACGATCGCCGCCGCAAGCTTTCGATTACGGTCGGGCATGAGAGACATTTTGCTTCGTTCTGCTTGATCAGTCTGGTATTTAACAGCGCGCGTAAAATATTTTCCGGCTAATGGTAAGCCTTAATGTTATTCCACTAATCCTTGGTGCGCGATTCTTTTCCATCGATTCGTTTGGAAACGCACGTGCGGAAATTCTTAATTCATCGGAGAAATCCAAATGTTTGCGCTTGTGCCGCGAGGCTAAGAATAGAAATTGCGTCACGAGCAAAATTTATAGAACGTTGTGCTGGCTGTGTTTACGATTTAAAACTTGGATCATTGTTTGATAGACGATTTAACATTCAATGCGTTTCCGATCCGAAACGATCGATATGTCAACGATTTTAATACACTTTAATATTCATAATATATTATAAATCTACTGTATTTTAATATTTTTAATAATGCGATCAAGTCAACAATGTTGGAACAAATATCATCCGTGTTAACAAAGAAATTGGAAACGTTGACATAAATGTTCTGAACAAGGGTCTAAAATAAAAGAAGGTCTCCCGAAGTACAATCATTATTACAATCGTTACCTCGACTTAATTAATTTTAACGTCAATCCTATTATTTTCAATAGGATAGTTCTCATAATAAAAAAATGCATAAAAATGCAGCAGCCTATTTATCCCTGTAAATTATTGAATTGCAGATATCAATTGCAAATCTACGAACGTTTTATTCGTCGAATGCTGATTAAGGTGAAGAAGAACCCGTGAAATATAATAAAGGAAACGAATCGCCTAACGAATAATCGACTCGGCGAATTTCCAAACGATCTAGCAATCGCGTTCAACGGAGATTAACGATGCCCGTTTGATAAATCGCCTCCCGAAGCCCTACAAAGGATCAGAATCCCGAGAAGCAACGAATTAGTGGAATCCACGATCAAAAGGAAAAAAGGCGGGAACAGGGAAGAAGAAGACGAAGAAGAAGAAGAAAAAAAAGGAACACGGAAATCTCCGTGGCGTCGATCCGTTAAGATTCCAAAGGGCGAAAAACTATTTCTGGTAGTCATGTGCTCGGACCGCGCGCTGCCAGAAAAGTCCCCAACGCCGCGTTTCCCTTTCCCGCGTCGGTTAACTTAGATTCCACGGCGGGCAACCCATCAAAATGATAAACTCCTCTCCTTCCATGAAAGAAAGCTGGGCGAGGCCGTCGGTGCATTTATTTTCGTACTCTACTTACCCCGCGTCGGCCGTATAATAGATCGAAATTCCAGTCCGGAAGCTGCCGGCCGGAAGATCGACCAGCCGAGGAACCAAACGAGGAGGTGTCGCACGGAACTTTCGAAAACCGATCAAACCCAATTGCGCTGAAAGTTGGCCGGAACGGCGTCGCGTTGCTCAAAAACAACGCTCCGAAGAACTAATTTCGCCAACTCGAAAGTTATGGCTTTTACGCTCGCGGAATCAGCTTCTGCCGTTTCTCGTGATGCTGCTTGCGATTATTCGAACTTTCGTGCTTCTTTCAATGCGCCTGAGATTTTTCGCGCATACGCGATATTTGCGAGAACGATTCTTCGTCGACCGAGTCGAAGTCGACAATTCTTAGAGGCACGTGTTACTGCTGTAATGTCACTTCCTGCCTGATCGACGCTTCAGTTAGGTCTCGGTTAGGTTTCGAAGACCTAAAACATAAAGCTATGTTCAAAAGTTCTTTTTGTTCAGAAAGCAAAAGTTTTAGAAGAAAGTGCAGCGTCGCTAGGTCCGGGTTAGCTCCAGGTTAGGCCTAAATTAGGTCCAAGTTAGGTCTAGGTTAGGTCCAAGTTAGGTCCAGGTTAGGTCTAAGTTAGGTCCAGGTTAGGTCTAAGTTGGGTCTCGGTTAGGTCTCAGTTAGGTCCGGGTTAGGTCTCCCGAAATTTTCGAGCCTAAAAAATTCCTTCTCGCAAAGGTTGTCATCGCGAAAAACGAAGCCGTTCGCCAAATTTCATCGCGATCGGATCCGACCAATTTTCGGAAGTTTCTCGAAGGTGTTTTCCTCGTCCCATCAGGGCGCCACCAACCAGGGACGAGCGCGTCGGTAAGGCAGAACGATCGATCCCGCTGCAACGTTGCCGCCTCTAAGGGGCAAAAGGAGAGCAAGCTGGTGGTGGGGGTTTAGTGGTCACGGTGTATTCGCAAATACTTGGTGACGGTGGTGCGCAACGAGGGTGCGAAAAAAAGCGGTGTCGCGAGAACGTGATTTCGGACGGACCTCCTGGTGAACACGTGGCTCATATGTCCTTGGCAGCTGGCGGATTCGCGGGTCGTTCGATGGCCAGCCGGCGTCGCGGTGCGTTCGGCCGCGGTGCATCGTCTCGCAATTACGCAATAACGGCGAGCCACGATGTGGGACACTGCGTGTGAGGGTTCTTGTGCCTCCGTTCGAACGAGAGCTACCACCTTCGGCGATTGCTCGTGAATGAACTTGTGCGTTCATTACGCTTGGTCCACGGTTCCCTTTCCAGTCGGCTCGGCGGGGCCTCGCGGGGAGCCGCAGGACCTTCGGTCTCACGAGAACGGTCCTTTGTGTTTAAGGTTACCAGCATGAGCGTTTGGCCGCGAAGGAGGTTTCGCATCACACCGCTCCGAGCGTTTGCGGCGTTCGTACTGATGGTAGTGCTGTTCTGGTACAGCCTCAGTCGGCATGAAGAGCCCAAACAGCCGTGCAGCGTGCCCGAGGAGTACACCGAGAAGCTCCACGATCTTGCTTACAGGTCTGTATCTGTATCTGCTGGCACGCGAGAATTTTCTTAGCAAGAATCGAGCATCGATGGCACACGTTTCTAGCGAGAATCGGGCATCGAACGGACTGTCGCTGGGAACCGAGTATTAAAGAGACCATCGGTGGGATTCAGGAATTAACAAGATCGTAGTCTTATTAAACGAGCAAGAATCATCTATACAAACCTACTCGAACCTACTTGAATGAGTAAGAATCGAGCGCCAAGGGGAGGGTCTCGACTTCAAAACGAGTACGATTTTCGGCCATTTTTTTACAAAGTAAAACTTCGATGAATCTTCTCGTCATTTTTCATACGTATTCTTCGACATTTCGAGATACATACATTATTTATTCGTTACGTTCCACCGGCGTTTACTGAGATAATAAATCCTGACCCTCCCCCATGAACCTCCCTCCCGATTTTATTGGACGTTAAAAATTAAATGGTAAAATTTGTAATAATTGAACGAAGCATGGATCAACGAGTCGTACAACTTTCCAATTAGGTGATGCTTCTTCATCTTCAAGGCTATTTCAAGGTCGCGCTTTAGACGCGCACATATTACGCGCGCCTCGTCTGACCTGAATGGCCGTATCTACTTCGGCGGTCGAGGCATTTCCTGCTCTCGGCGTGTATAAATAGTACGAAACCTTTCTCTCGTGGATTGTATTCCGACGACCCCGAGTCGGATGTGTAAATTGAACCGGTTTTATGAACTACGATCCAACGTGTTCGGCGATCAGGATATTCTGTTTTTCAACGGAATTTAATACACAGTTCCCTGACACTCGAATTCGTTTAATTTGTTACATTTTACAACGCCTCGCATTTATTCGATGTATTTCCAGTCGGCGAGTTCAATCTACAGCGGCGAATTCATTTCCTTGTTTTAAATCATTCATTAATTAATTTGGCGCGTAAGTCGCGCGAAATCGTACGAAATGGACGCTATAAAACATTTAATCGATTCGAAAATATCATTGTACGACTGTCTAATTATTAATATGAGTAAGGAAAGGGGTAAATGTCTGTGTAGGTTCTGCATTTTGTAATCAACAAAGACAATTTTTATTTTGCATAAAAATAGTAATGGCTACACTGTGCGGATTTTATGCATTTATGGCAAAATTGAACGATGGAATTGAAACCATGGAAGCATCGGAAGAATTTAAGAAACTTGTTGCAGTATCTTTAATTTGTTGATACTGTTGCAACGAGGATTACATTCTCGTTTGACTCTTGTTCTGCAACAGTTTTTATTTTCCATAAGAGTCCGTAGCGCAGCCATTACACAGTACAAATCGACGAAGCAATATCTCTTCCCCCACCACGACTTCTTGATCGATCATTTAACGAACTGACAATGCTACGCTCAGAATTCGTTTGACTACATTCCAATTATCGTCAATTATCGTCAACTTAATTTCTCCTGACACCATTTCTGTTGATCAAGTCCATCGGCGTCCTCTGCGATCAACATAATTACGCGAATCGATCGTCATCAAAAGTGTTATTTTTAGATAGGAACTACGAATCGCTGGGCTCACGGCCGGGTCATTAAAAATGCAACTTTCCTTTTATGTAAGATTTCTCCCAAGTTTCTCGAGTTTCACCGGGCGCGTGTAACTGTAACGGCTGGTTCTAGGGCTCACCTGGTGCTGGCCAAGCTGGAAATCGTGCACTTTCTGTGCCTTGGCGGGCTTTGGGGTCAAGTTCGGATCGGCCGGGCTTTACCATGGGCGAGGAAGGTCGAGCTATGCCTGGTGGACACGCTACGCGACGATGTCCTGATCACGAAAGCGTTCCGCGAAGTTGGACTTAGCGCCACGTACATGCACGCCGCCGGTGTTTACCGTATACAGGAGAACGAGGCTGCCGAGGATGCTCCTAAGGTGGAGGTAGTTGTCTTCGAGGAGGACGCGGTTGTAAGTTCTTTTATTTTACTACCTGCGAAATATCCTCGACTTGTTTGCGTTCGCGAATGATCCGCGCGATTGGTTACCGAGTTGTTCGTTTCGAAGTAAAACTGCTTTTAGTTTGTGGCGGTCTCGAATGAGCGCGTTAGAATCATAGTGAGACAGATTTTCGAAAATGTTGACTCGTGTCTTAAAATGTAATCTTCGCGTGCCAAAATGTGGCACGAAGTTTAGCAAGAGCTAATTTTAATTCTTAATAATTGTAAGAATTAATAATTTTAAGAATTAATAAGTTTCATTCTGAATCATTTTAATACTTAAGCATTTCAAAAATTAATGATTTTAATTCATAATCATTTTAATCCTTAATAATTTGAAGAATTAATAAGTTTCATTCTTAATCATTTTAATTCTCAATCATTTTAACAATTAATAAGTTTCATCCTTAATCATTTTAATTCTTTATCATTTTAATTGATTAAATGATTTTTTCAATTAATGATTTTAATTGATTAAACAATAATTCTTAATCATTTTGTGAATTAATAAGTTTCGTTCTTAATCACTTTATTTCTTCTGCAACAGGCAAGTGGAGTAAATTATAAAGTTACTATGAATTAACTTAACCATAAATTACTTTAACAATAAATTTGATCAATAAATAGTACACGTGTTAGTAAACAATAACACTTTCTGTTTCTCATAATGAAGAAAATGCGACTTATGGCACTA